TCTCAACAGCGCATCCGCCATAGACAGAATTCTGTAAGCTTGTCGTCTGCCTCCCAGCCATTCTTTGACGTCATGGAACCGACTGCGTTTGGCACTGAACACATTCCAGAGCCTTCGGTCGATGTCAGATATCAGTTTCCAAGGAAGAGATATCCAGAACTGGTCACAAGTTTTCAGTCCAACGGCTGGACTAAGACCCAAAGTGTTGATGATTTACTGGGATCTTATGGGGGTCCGTTCCAGCACAACGCTGCCCCCCTGCGGCGTTCCACCAGCTTGTACTCCGGATCAGACCTCTACGATAATACCAGTCTGACGGGCTATTTGCGAGCCCAGGCGAGCCAAGAGATGGAAAAAGAGCTTGAGATGATAGATAATGATATTCACTACATGTTCAATTCTGTGGACAGGAGAAAACGCCCCAAGAAACCACGGCGACTCAGCCACCTGGACCTCTAAGGATACCTGCAAAGTGTTTTCGAAGGTGAATACTTAATGGATGTTAAATAAATAAATAAAAATGAAAAATAGAATAAAAATCAACAGTAATTATATGCTACCTGAAAATGAGACGGTGCTTACCAAGTGGATACCCAGCACCAGTTCCTATATCGTCTTTTACTCTATAGTCACTGTGGGGCTGGGTTTGTACATTCAGTTTACAAGGTTTTGATCAAACGGACCAGAACATTCACAACAGTCACCGGAAGGAAGCTTATTTGTTTTGCGCCTTTATGGGTCCTAGTTTGTATCATTCAAACCTTAGGCAAATTACAAACAAAAACGTGACTGAATTTTTAGTGAGAAGAATTAACACGCCATTCTGCGCATCACAATTCTGAGACATTAGATTAAAACCATCTTACATTACAATTAAGTTTTAAAAAAACTTGCAGCATTTCACTGTTTCGGATTCTTTTACTGAAAACATTATATACCGGGTAATACGACTTTATGAAATAAAAGGTGATGTAATACAATGTGTGCGTTTGTGATGACCTTGCTTTTATCCCATGATTTCTCTTTATCAAACAGCAAATTAAAATCAATTAAATCCCTTTTTCTTTTAATCTAATCAGAAAATTGAAAATTTGGCCAAAGTAGACTATTTCCTCTTCAATGACTCTTCGTTATCATCCATATCCAAAAACACCAATAGCACTAGGCAATAAATGCAGGTTAACTGTCCGCAATTGATGACGCAGCCTGCCGCTCTGATTTCCAGAGATTTTAGCCGCCAGCACTTAAAACATACATCGTTAATTCCCTCAGGATTAATTCACCTCATTGCCTGTAGGTGGTGTGCATCACACGGTTCACGAATTGCCAGTTTTACCTTGTATCTATGAGTACTGACCCTTAAAGTGCGACGTCTTAGAGTCATGTACTTGAGAAGCTCCCAGACAAAAAGAAAAAAACAAGAAAGAAATGACCACTACTTTTTTCTTCGATGACTCTTATTCTGTTATTGCCTGAAACAATTCTTTATGTCATAAAGAAGGCAACACCTTGCATATCACTAGAATCTATAAATCGTGAGAAAATTTCCTCCTCTGACATAGTTAATTTGCTCAGCAAGAACTTCTCCATGCGAAATGTATCATATTTTAACTTGTTGAAACAAACTTAGGTGCCTTCGTCAGAAATGAATCTAGGAATTTTGATACTGGGAGGATTATCATTTGTTATACCAGGCTGCGTCTTTCAAGAAGGTATGGATATACATTTTCATCTTTGTTTTCGTACTCAATACCTCTTCGTCAAAAAGTCATGCGTATGATTTAAAAATATTTTTGAAAATGCCTTTATGGTATAATTAGTTCAAGTTTATATCAGACTTCTCATCCCAGAAGTGCACACTGTATAGTCACCATGTTTCTCACATAATTTGTCTCGTGCTGAATGATACTCGTAAATTTTTTATAATGCGTTTTGTGGACGCTTGAATGAGGTCTGGGCAGAGTTATTGACGATCGGCGATCCGCATTAACGAGGCTCGGATATTGAATAAGCGTTCTGATAAAGCTTCTGAAGCGAAAAAGGGGAAACGTGTGAAAGTTTTTGTTCTTAAACTATCTTAATTTGACCAGATGCCACGTTTTCACTTTGCACAACACGAAAGCCATTCGCTGTTGTTCCGGACACAGCTGGGAGTTAGGGACATAATAATCAACCAGACATATACTGATATATGCTATATATCTGAATGTTCAACCGCAGAGCATTACGTCAACACTTTAGGCCTATTGTATTTGAAGTCCACGGGGATTGCGGGTTTTTAATTTATTTAATGCCGATTTGATTTGAAACTAGTTGATTATACTGTGACATAATTTGACTCACTGCATCTTTACAAAATTCCCCCCTGGATACTTACACAGGAATTCCTGCTTACCTGTTTCTCCGTTGTAGAGTATGTCTGCACTCTTACTTATTTTCTTATTTACCGTACTAGCACATGATATAGGCCTATATTCATGTAAATGACGAAGACAAAAAATTCATATAATAAGTAATGCATAAATACTGAACAGTAATTAAAGAATTAAAAGTTAATCGATTTGAATACTGTATGTCCCAGTGTGGCGGAACTAGAATCCTGCTTAAGCAGGTCTCCATGTTTAGACTGTTCTTATTTTCTTTTTAAATGAAAATTACTTTGATAAGAGGGTGGGAAAATTCATTTATCAAAAGCTATGATTTGTTGAGTTGTTGTCGATTTCTGCAATATATGACAAGTATTAAAAATCAGGTAGCAGGCTTATAGTTTTATTGAAGAACATCTAAGACAGACTAGACACGGTCGTGCATTCCTCAAGGACCTGAAAATAATAATAATGATGATGATAAATAGAATTAACTTAGAAAACTGTAATAATATAAAGTTTCGACATACTTCTCTACCACTATTTTAATGGTTATATTAGCTTTTGTAAATCAGGTGCTTACATTACTAAATAAAGTCAATCTCCTTTTCCACATCGAGCTGACTTAATTATTTTTTCGCTGTGTGGAAGATTTGCACCATGAGAAGTATCTATGCATATATTTTTTCCTTCATTGATACTAGTATATTTCGTACAATGGCTATGATCTTACAGTCTAAAACTTGATATATCTAGAGGCATACATGTACAAGTAGTTAACGCTGTTCAAATGCTCGTCTGTGTGGTACAAAAATAATACTGGGAGAAATTAAAAGGAGTCGGTGCTCGCTCTCTCTCTTTCTCTCATGACAAGTAATTAAACTTCCGGTAAAGTTTATACTTGGTATCATTACAGTATCATTTAGGGATTACTGCATACAGCTCTACTTTCAAATGAATTCATGAATGTTTGTAAACTAGGAAGATAACCCGGCTTGATACCAACACGTGCGCTATGTTTTGTTTTAATTGGGTCATGGTAATATCAGCGTCACTGATTGGTCTAGAAGTTAGTTTGACCTAGTTGAAGTGGAGGTGCTCTGTGGGAAGATGTAAGCTGTAAGTTGCATGTTGTGTTGCAGGTAAAATGCTTTATTGTTTTATAAAAGTCACTCTTTTTTCCATACAGTTTGTAAGATATTAATTCAAACGATGAACCTTACAGGATCTCACGCATTGCAAAGTTTCGTGAGTTTTTAGGGTTCCTCGACTTAAGCATGGGGCTACATTCCAATTTTCCATTTCACAAATTTAATCAAGGAGTTATAACTCCTTGATTTAATTGTCTATGAAAATGAACGAGCTTTAACCTGGATACCGCAAATAATCATAGTCAAGTGCTTTTATACTGTTTTGCTTAATTACCAAAGTGCAAAATTACACTTGTGAAAGTCCAGGGCAACTTCATTCTTGGACCCAATGATTTTTGCCTCAGAACCTGTACAGGCTACAGCATGGGTAGGTATCCTATAAGTATTTAATGCTTTAACCAAGCATGTAAGGCCAAAAACTGAAGCAAGGACCCATCATGTTACATTTACTGGTATGATGGGTCCAAGCTTCAGTGAGACGTCCATTGTGATAAAAAATGCAGGATTTTTTTCAGGACCATCTCAAAAAAGACTTAATAAATGTGTCTTTTTTTTCTTCAGTGAAAGTGCTCGACAGTTGTCCAAACACTCGTGTTACTTTCCAATGCCCTGGTGGTAATAAGATCAACATAATCAAAGAACAGTATGGCCACAACCCCTCTGGTGGCAGGTGCGGAGCACCAGGTCCTCTGGACTGTAAGATTGATGCTAAGGTAATGAAACTGATACAATAACAAGATTACAAAAATTGTAAGAATCTATACATACCTCTCTAGAAATCTTTTCTATTTTCCTTGTATCTTGCGAAATTTGACAAAATTTTGATAACATTCCAAAGTGAGTTATTTTTTTAAGTTTATTTCAAGATTTTATATAGAAAAGTTATTTAAATATCTCCAGTTGATTTTACCTAGGATTCAATATGATGCTAGATCCTAGATTTTACATAAAATAATACAGTATTAATTTTGTTTCTTTCCAGGTCATCATACAGCGCTGCCATGGTAGGACCAGCTGTAACTCCTATGCCACCACCGGCCAGTTGACAGCTGCTCAGTGTGCGGATGTGGGATATAATTTAGATGTTCTTATCAACTATGTGCACATTGAATATACCTGTCTACCCGAAGTCAGTAAGTGCTCTTTATTCACAGTTTAATATGTCTCACAAAATTCTGTCATGAAACCCAGGATGCTAAAATAACACCATTAATTGGAACAGGGAACCATCCCTTATTATACGTCACAGATTAAAATTCCTGGCAAATCAATTTGGTCATCTTTTAACTAGTTTTGAACCTGCAGTGTCTAATATGTACTGCATCCTTAGCAAGGAATGAAACAACTGAATGAATCTTTTTTCAATTTGATTAATCTACATAATTTTTTTTTCAGGGGCAAGGTTGGCTTTGAAAGCGGACTGCAATCCAGGCGTCGACAGATGCGCTGACTACTTCGCTCTCTGTGATGCGCAAACACGATCATGCCAATGTGAGGAGGCATACTATGATAAAGGTGGCGCTTGTGGTAGGTTGACTGATAGTAAGGCGTGAAAGATGGAATGTTAAAATTGATCTAAACTTCATAATTATAAGTAAATATATTTATAGATGTTTAATGAGTTGGATCAGATGAAATTTTATATTCCCATAATTTCTTAAGATTTATGCAAACTTTTGTTGATAAAATGAATGCTAATACATTTCAAGTTAGGTTGCTAATATAAACAAAATGCTTTTTCTAAAAACTAATTCATTTAGTTTGAATAATTCAGTGAATAACTGCAGTATTTTTAGTGCACTGCCTAATTATCTGAAGTTCTTTTGTGTCAGTTCCTAAAATCCTGTTAAACAAACCTTGTCAACCAGAGGAGGCATGTCTGGATCCCAATGCTTCTTGTCTCAGTGGCTTGTGCGTCTGCAATGAAGACAACTTTTATGACAAAAATGAGACCTGTGGTATGTTGGTTTGATTTGAGGAACTGTGATGAAATTTCTCAAGTGAATTTGAATTAATAGTTATTCTGGGAAAGAAAAATTTCAAGTTATTTTAATGTTAAATATAAAAATATGGATAAATTAACCTACTAGTATACTACTTTCATACCTGGAATTGGACCTGAAGCTTATTTCTAAGAGGTGCAATCTTAAAATAGCAGTTTAGGAATTTTACATTTTTATCTTGGTAGAATAAATTTTTACAGAACAGATTTATATTTTCATGGCAGTGCCAAAGCTGCCAGTAGGTGGAGCCTGTGTGGCTGGCACAGATATCTGCTTGGATTCTAATGCAGCATGTGGTCTCTCAAACATGTGTGAGTGCAAGAAGGAGTTCTATGTGAAAAATGGAGAATGTGGTGAGTACACCAACCGTAAATCACTTGTTATTTGCACAGTTATTATTTGATTTGCATTAGTCAACATGAATAATGATAACTACTGATTCATCTTTACAATGTGAACACCCAATGTAAGTATTTTCTAGTATTGCTAACTATAGTTCATGAACATGCACACTTACAGTTCTGCTTGAAATTGGTCATACTGTTAGTCATACCAAGACTAATTTTGGTACTCCATGAATTTTGCTTGGTTTCTGCTCAGATGTTTTACTTTTATATTCATCAAGGCATGTGATAGATTCATATGTTACTATGTTTATGCGGAGGCAGCAGTATATCAATACATATTAATGCATCAAACTCTACATGCAGTATTCCGTGTTGTATTTCAGTACCCTTGCTCGGTTTGGGCAGTTCTTGTGTCCAGGGAGCTGACCAGTGTGAAGATCATAATGCCAAGTGTGTGTCAGGCACATGTCAGTGTGTGGGGGCATACTATAATAAAGACAGTGCATGTGGTAAGTGGTTGAGGGGCACATGTCAGTGTGTGGGGGCATACTATAATAAGGACAGCTCATGTGGTAAG